TAAATTTGGTGTAGTTCGTATAAAATAGCACCATACAAATAATTAAAAAAGAAACAAATTAAAAAAAAAAAACTGCTCTGGAATAAAGAATCGAACCATAAAATTTTATACATTTGAATAATCATTTCGTATCAAAAGTACACGGTTCAGCTCGGGTTTGTGTCGCCCTACAGCCATAAGGGCACCTGCATCGCAAGTGTTAATTGCCCGTTTAAACGCTCCCTTCCCATTTAACATGGATGTGAGGCATCCATTATATGTGGGGGCCCACTTGGCCGTTCATTGCATTGAACGACTTGTTATCTGTTTTTTTTTTTTTTTTTTTTTTTTTTTCTGTTTTGTTTTCAATTAATTTCTTTATTTTGGCTTGGTGTTTTTTTTTATTTTCTTTTTCTGTTTGTTTTTAATTAATTTGTTTTTTTTTTTGTTTTGTTTCCATTAATTATTTAATTTTTTTTATTTTAGTTTTTCATTTAGTTTTCTTTTTGTTTTGTAATCTTAATTTATGTTTTTTTTTTAAATCTAATAATATTTAGTGTATTTTATAAATTTAAATTAAATATTCTAATTAAATAAATACATATATTTTTATTAAGAATAAAATATAAAAATAGTATTGAATGAGTGGGTAATGGGTCCCATGTATTTGTGTTTAAATGAATGATTTGTTGGGTTCACCTGTACCGTACGAGCTATACGCAGCGGAATTTAAAATTTTTCAAAAACATGTATTTAACACTTAAATACATAACTCGTATATACATATGGCGAATTAACAGATCGTCATCTTTAAAAACATGTAGTAATACAAATTTTGATTTGTTTAATAGTAAATACAATATTTACCGTTGATCTTGAACTCCTTCAAAATCGAAGATGGATTGAGGGAATCGATTCCCGGATTGGTAACGTCACTTCACTTCTTTCTTGTGCTTGTGGTTACTCGCTTAGGAATCCACGTGTCTTCCCTCTAAACGTATCCACCTTTTGAAGTCCGGTTCCGACGAAAGCTTCTTCGCTAGTAGAAACGTCTCGATTTATTTCAACAAGTAAAGGAATTTATTTGAGGAAATTTACAAGAACTCTTTCTTGTAATTTTGAGAGATTATTCAACACTTGAATATATCTTCTTGAGAACTTAGATCAAATCTTTTTCTCAAAACAAGAACCCTTTCTTGTTTTAGAAAATTAATTCAACTATTGAATTTATTTTACAAACTCTTTTGTAAAATTTTCTCAAGAACTAAATTCTAAATTCAAGAACTCTTTCTTGATTTAGATTATGAAGAACACTTTCTTCTTTTCTCTCTTTTCAACACTTGAAAACTTTGGAAGAAAACTTACAAAATAACTTAGCTTATTTTGTAAACTCTTTACACATATTTATACTAAACTTTTTAGTATAAAATAATCAATAATTAGTATTATTTAAATAAAATCAGATTTTATTTAAATATGATTTACTAACTATTGACTTTTATATAATAAACAATTTAGAGTGGTTCCCTAACCTCTCTTAACCACCATTTATTATATTCACAATTATTTTTAATCTTTAATCATATTAAAGATAAAATAATAAAACATTAAAATAATAATTCTTGAAATCATTTTTCAAGACTTTATTATTTTAATCATTTCTTCCAATTTCCTTATTTAATAATCATATTATTATTTGGATTTGAAATTTAAAATCCTATTTTAAATCCCAAATATTAATTAGTAATTCCATTAATTACTAAATTAATATCCAAAAATACATTTAATCAATCTCATTGATTAAATATATATATTCCTTTAAATTGACATCTAATCAAATTAGACTAGTCAATTAATTCTAACTCTTTAGAATTACTAATTGAATTTTACCATCATTCAAAAATTGGTGTGACCTTTTAGGTTCACTATTAATAATAGTAGTGGGTTTACAACTCTTTGTAATTTGAGTTAATCTTTATTAACTCTTATTCATGAATTAACCCCTTAATTCATGAACCCACATATCATGGGAACACCTAGCAAGTAGCATGAATCTAGTATTAAGTGAATAGCGAGTAAACCTATTTCAATTACAATTACATACATGTAAAATCCTTTCGACATCTAATTTCCCGATTAAATCTTTGGGTATGATTTTGTCGAAACCCAAATTGATTTAATAACTATGATTCCATTTCAAGTTTAGTAATTCGTGTACGAATCTCCATTCATCCCGCATTGGCCAAGGACTTTGAATTACTAACTATGAAACACATAGGAAATTCACTTATCTTCATAAGTGTCGAATCCTTTGTTGGCCACTAACAAACTTCCATACATATTAACATAATACCCAAAATATCCCTTTATAAGATTGTGCTAGCAACCAAAAGGATAAATCAAAGTAGAATGTAATATGCACAAAGTTACCATTGTGCCTCAAGTCTAAGGATCAATCATGTACTATTGTAACATGAAAATTCTTATTCGACAAGATAAATCTTTCATTAAGAATTTTCATACGGTCATGTTCAGTGAACTTGTTCTCTAACAAGCACCCACATATATGTACTTGCGTCCCACGCTAATGTTGATGGAATGCAACATTCTTGTCTAAACAAGCATACATACTATGTGCAAGTCTTTTATGGATTATTCGATATCCCTTTTCGAAACATCCATCGACTTGGAACTATATTTAAGATCACGGCTTTGAAGGTATGTTCCATGATCACCATCTCTATGCGCAACCATACCTTATAACCATATGTGATCTAGGGATTTTATCTTAAGTGCAATTATAGGATAAATGCTTACTCTTAAGATAAAGAAATACCTTATTAATAATATAATTCCAATAGATCGTATTTACAAGTAGAATACGTCCAATCAAATTGGAACGCCGGGTATACTACTCTAACATGATTGAATGTGGGTGTGTGTTTAAATGGAGAGATATTTAGTGGAAATATGATATGGAGATGATGTGGATGAAAGAGAGTGTAATTGTGATTGAATGAATGTTAAGGGATGTGGATGCCCTAACACTGCCATATTTACACTCTCAACATCTCAGTCAAGTAACATTCAAATCCATTGTTGCATTTTACCACTACGAGTCCCACAAAACTCTTACGCTCACAATCATATCTTTCTTACTTGAGAATGGCTGCCTTTTGAAATGGAGGTTTAACTCTACACCCCCGTCGTTCGAAATGGGTTATCAACCCCCCC